CTGTTTAATAAGCAGCAGAATCCCTGTGCTGAAGAGATTATTCTCTTAATTTAGTCAAACATTAAATTTAGCAGGTGCTCAGTGTGCAGTTATTCCCTTTCTGCTTTCCTCTGTTTTCAAAACCTTGAGCTTTCTCTTGCAATGCTCTCCCAAGGTCTTTGAGTTCCTCTCCACTCAAGAGAATCCCTTTTGCTACACAGAATTCTCTTTCTCCACAGAATTTCTCTTCTTCTCTGTCCTTGCAGTTAAAAGGGATTTTGAAAGTTTTAAGTTGGGCTGGTCCTGAGTCTCTCACAGGAATGGGTTTCACCCCAGTGAATGTGCACATTTGGAGGCTCCACAATGCTTTAGGCTCTCAAATCTGCCTCTTCTTCTGATGCCTTTCATTCCATGTGAGGCTAAACTCATGGAAACTTTTTCTGATTGGAGTGGGAAGGAAACACTTCTAAGAAATTATTATGTTTTCTAAATAATTCTTAACAGATATTAAGAAAAATATATTGCATAAAGTGACTGAACATTCTTCATCTTTCTTCTGATTTTTTTGATTATTCACACACGTATAAGAAAATTACCTTTGCCTCAAAAACTGAATTTAACTTATTCTCTATCCTTCAATACATATTATTTATGTATTTCATGTATAGCTGCAGTTACTGTGTAGAAAAATCATCCTCAGATCAAGCTATTTTTTAGATCCAAAACATAAATATATATCTAATATATATAATTCAGATATCCTTCTTTAATTATTATTTATCAAGCAGTGCAGTGTTTCTTTAGCATTTATGTATAAATATCTATTAACTCTTTAATGATAACTTGGTATGGCTTCACTTTTTCTTCTTCCTTCCTGAGCACGATGCCTGGGAATTATCCCACGTGGGATTTATAAACACAAGGTTGCAGATTTACCTAGAAGAGCACACTTATTTTCTGATGAAAGCAAAGGGAGGCAAAACAACAGCAAACTAACAAGAACATCAACTTTAATCACAATAACCATTTTTATTGTGAGAATTTATATGAAGGAAGATATTTTATGGCTGTCATGAGAGACTTCACCTATAAAAGACTCAGATGTCTGCATTCATGCAGTACATTTGCTGCACCTTCCATTGCCTGGAGCAACACCCTACATACAAAATTTTCCTTCTTTCTTTATTTTAAACATCCTGAAAAGCAGAATATAAAAATCCTGCATGTTCTTTAGCATTGCTACAGGGGTTAAATTGTTAATGCTTTACTTTCACTCTAGTTTTTTATCAAACTTTCTTTTTTCTCTCCCTGGGGATAAACAAATGGACAGCTTTCCTCTCTAGTATTCCTCCTTCCATTACCATCACAGCAGAATGCATCTGAGACTATAATAATTCAGTGATGAAATACAAAATGTCGCAATGCCATCTCTCTTAAAGTGAACTGAGATTTTGTTATGCCATTTTAGGTGCACTAATAGCTCCTAAAGTCCCATGGAGTATCTTAATGTGAATTTAATGAGCTGATAGCATATAAATGACAGTACTGTGAGGGTGAAGGTGACATAACCTTTTTCCTTCTGTTTGATGTTTGTCTTTGAAAAAATACAGATCTTTTCGAAACGCGCCGCATTATTGCAACATGCTGCATCCTTCAGCAAGGAGCCTGCCATTGTTTTAGCATTTTACAGCCCTTTTCTGCACTCTTCATGGCACTAGAAACACAGGCATTTTTTTTCAGCTCACCATTAAGGTAATTAAAAATCCCAACACTTTTCCTGGCAGCACAATGCCAGCGGTGCTTGTGGCTGCATCATGGAATGTCCATCCAGTGACATCCCATCGGTTCTGTCATGCTGGTGCCAGTGGTGGAGGCATGGAACTGGTGGAATCCCATGGGAACCACATGGAAATCATCCCTCTTTATTTCCTGGGCATCGCCTTTCTACCTCCCAGCTAAGAGATTTCCTCAGCAGCGCTGACTCCCAAACTCCGGGTGTCTTTACCAGAGCGCTGTCATTTACAAGGAGGTGCCTCCCACACTCAGAAGGGTCACACCCCATTGTGTGCCCAAATCTCAGCCACCCTCAGCGTGGCAATGGGCTGGAATCCCATCAGCACTGCCTTGGATCAGCCCTGACCCTGCCACGAGCAGGGGAGGAAGATGGCAGAAGATAAATTCATTGATAACCAGCAGCAGACCTTCAGAAAACAACTGGCAGATTAAGGAGGCACCCAAATGTATCAGGTTATTAAAGCCTGCCCGAGTGCAGCAATGCAGCTTTGCCACTGCAGTTTGAAGTATTGTCCTTAAAACCTTTCATTCAAACTTGAAATGCCATCTCAGTGCTTTTCTCACCCTCCAACCCAAACACTTAGAGCTGTGTCAGCCACAGCGTGATCATTTCTCGTGTTGTGCAACTCCAACAATTATTAGCTTTCACTTCTCTTCATGTTCCTTCAAAGCAATATATAGATACAGAGATTATGAATCATAGAATATCCTGAGTTGGAAGGGACTAACAAGGATCAAGTTCAACCTGTCCCTGCACAGGCAGACCAATAATCCCACCCTGGGCATCCCTGGCAGCGCTGTCCAAACTCTCCTGGAGCTCCGGCAGCCTCGGGAATGTTCCCATTCCCTGGGGAGCCCCTGCACCCTCTGGGGGAAGAACCTTTCCTGATATCCAACCTAAACCTGCCTGGCACAGCTCCAGACATTCCCACGGATGCTGTCACTGGTCACCAGATCAGAGATCAGTGTCTGCCCTTCCTCTTCGCCTCCTGAGGAAGCTGAAGATTGGGACAGGGCTCCTCCAGGTGAACAGACCAAGAGACCTCAGCTACTCATCACACAGCTTCCCCTTGAGGCCCTTCACTATCCTCACAGCTTTTATTATTTATTTATTATTTAAACTTTATAGTGAGCCAGGCTTGGGGTTTTTTTTTTTTAATTTTATGTTCATTTGCTGAATTGAGGTCAATCAAAGGTTACTCGGTGTTGATTTGCTTGTTAATTTTAAAACACTTGTAGGACAGACTATGAATCATTCCACAGACAGTGTATTTTTCTATCTTTTCATACAGTCCCAATGTTGTTTACGTGAAGTATGTAATGCTGAGTGGATTAAATTTACACAAGTTTTTTCGTTCCCCAGCAGAAACGCTAGCATTTGCTCTTCTGAGAGACCTACCTTGGGCTGAGTTTGACAAAGGGGAAAGAAATAAATAAAAAACAAGCAGCTTACGTGTTTCAAAAAGTTGGAATTTTGGCAATGTGTGAAATTTGTTTAGAGAAACCTTTTCGTTGCCAGGTGACGAGGCAAAACATATCACATATGCTTAACAACCAGCTTGTACATATTTTGTCTTTCCAAGGTTTCTAGGGCTGGTCAGGCACAATGATGCATTACAGCTGAAGGAGCTTCCAGCAGGGACAAATGTTTGTCTCCTTCCAAAAGAATTTTCCTAATCCTTAAGAAAAACAACTCAATATTTCTCATTGCTGAATGATTGAGTAAGGACTAATTCTGCTCAAAATTCACCGTATCACGAGTCGTAATGTATATTTTGTGTTTGCTGAGGGTGCAAACTGCTGGGGTTTAGGTGTTTGTGAGCATTTCATGATATAGTTCTGCTAATACAGATTTCTTACAACAGTCTAACACCTTATCCCCGTTCCACTGTCAAGCAACAGCACAAGCAGCATTAAAACCCAAGGAAGACTGAGGATCAATGATGATAATGTGTTAAAATGTGTCACACCGTGTTCAAAAGCTACTGTTGGCTCAGTCCGAGCACCTTTGCATCACTGATGTTTCCATTCCATCAACATTTCCATCCACTGGTGCACACTGGAATTTCAGAGGAATGGAATAACCAGTTTTGGTTTTGAACATTCTGGTCAGAAAGAGCCGGAAAAAACCCAATCCACACTCAGATTCCCCTAAAATCCAGAGGCCCATCCTTCCCATCCCAAACCTCAGCTCTTGCTGTGAACATTTACACAGATCCCATGGCCTGGAGTTGCAGTTAATGGACTTCACACATGTGAAATTAATTGTGGGGATAATTCTGAAACAATTACCTTTTCTTGGAATCCCAGTCAACAACTATTCTAATAAATCACGGTGCTGCTCATGCTATAATGACCATCAGTAATCAAATGCATCTGCACACTCAGCCTGTTTGCTGACTTAAAGCACTAAAAGGCAAAGAAGAGTTTGGTGCCCAAGTTCCCACAGAGGATCTGACTGCTCTCCTCCAATCACCCTTTGCTACCCACAATTATTAATTGTTTATCATTACTCAAACTTGCATCCTGACCCCAATCTCTTTAAAATGTTCATATGTATATATTTTCTAATACTCTGTTGTGTTTTTTCCTCTCTCTTTTGTTTTGCATTCCAATTTTAAGTGTCGCTGAAAGAAAATTTCAGCATGACTCATGAGATTAAACTGTTTTATCTTTAATTATCCTAGTCAGGAGATATCCATAAATCAGTATTTTAAAAAGCATCATGGATTCATTTAGGACAAACCATCATTTTGTTGTTTCACTGCTCCACACATGGGTTGCCATCCTATCTTCTGTGTACCCAACTGAATATTGGTTTTTCACAGGTGGATTAGGTACCAAAAATCATCTTCTCCCAGACTTTACAAGTCTGCCACCTCTTTCTTCCATCCTAATGCACCTATTCCCACTTACCCTGGGGGTAAAACCAAGCACACACAAAACTCAAAGCTAAGGAACTTCCTGCTGGAGAGCACAACTTCTGGAATTAGATCTCCACTAGGAGCCCTCGTGCCTGCAAATTCCAGGGTACTCTGCCTGCCAGCACACCACACATGCCAGCAAACCAATTTCCTAGAATCCTCATCAAAAGACAACAACAAAGGGCTGTAATGATGGCCAAATCCAATTTATTGAAGAGGGAAAAGGAGACCATACACAAACCTCTCTGCATGGCTGTCCCCATGTGCCAGGTCACTACCTGTAGCCATTAATATTGTATTGCTTCAAACAGAAGATGAAAAATATTCCATGCATTTTAAACATGAATCCAAAAACATAAGTTACACTAACATGTAATACATTTCTGCTGTTCTCTGGCAGGAGAGAAAAACAAAACTGGCAGCTATAGAAATTGTACAATGGTAATTATTGAGAGAAATAATTATACAAAAACCTGTTCAAATTATATACGGGATGGGATGACTCAAAGCGAGAAGAATTTAGAGTGATAGTTAATATCTCAGAAAACCTCACTGTGTGAGTCCAGGCAGCAAAATCAGACAAATAAATGCATCTGCTGAAATCATTCTACCCTCTGAAGTTTGTAAAAAGTAGGCAAAAAACAAGTTTTCATTGGTGGGGATTTCAGGGCAGGCTGGTTTACCAGGGAGGTTCCCAGCAGCATCAAGGAATTCCTGGACAAAGGAAAGAAGGAAACCTTAATGCAATTTTATTCTAAACAGGCTGTAATCAATTCATTATATTCACTCTGTCACCCCCAGCTGCAGGTGGGTTTAGAAAATTAAGCCAGCCCTTCAGAGGTGAGAGAAGGACTGAGGTGTTGCAATGGAGCCAGGAGCTGCTGGGTGCCAAGGCCCTGAATTCCCACCTGCACCTCTAAAGCCCTTTTTCTGTCTGTACCCAGAGATAAAACATATTGTTCCAGAGGTTTCCAGCTGTGGTTCTGATGGCTGCCCTCATCCCTTCACCCCAGTGCCTGCAGCACTCTGGGTGAAACTGCAGCCACTGAGCCGATCACCCTTGACAAGCCGAGGAAGCCTCACCACCTCCTCCTTGTTTTGCTGATCTCCTTCTGCCTTTCCCACACTGCATTCAAGATTCTTGGTATTTGTTCCATTCCAGATCTTACTTCTCAAACACCTCTCCCTACTTCAAAAACTTCTGCTTTTCATGTGTCCTCCCCTCCTTCCACTTAATTTTTAAACCTCTGTCCTCACTTCCAGCAACAGGCCAAAGCCCTTCTCAAGAGAACAGGTTTTTCATTATTTCTACAGTAAAATATAGATCATTAATTCATCTCTAGTAGCTACAAACTTTTCCTTAATTATTCCTTTTAGCCTGTTACATTACCTTACACCTGTGTTGCTATTTCCCTTCCTTCTGTATCACGCCTAATTTGAAATTGGTGTGACTCAGCTGAGGATTGCAAAGCAAAAAAATATTACTTAAGCTTGTTTTGAGAGTTCCTCACTTTGCCCAGACTGTTCACACAGGCAAAGCATCCCCTGCACCATCCAGTATTAGTGATAACTTTTCAAACTTTGCTTGCAAGAAAGATGACAAATGCTTCAGGACACAAGTGAAAATGGCAAAAAATGCTCTGCTGAAAGTCAGCTCCACACAGTGCAACTTGCTCAAATTGTCATATCAAAATTTGCTTTCACTGAAAAGGCTGCTACTTTTATTTGGTAAGGTGGTTCAGAAGTCCAGCTCAGCTCAGTTCCTTTGTGCTGAGGGAAGGGCAGTGAGTGGTTCATATCATTTACAGCTAATTCTACCATTTCTTTCAGTATTCAGATACTGTATTTATTTCTTCAATGCACATAATCAGATCACTGCATTTTTTCTAATTACATTAGTTTCCTCTGTAAAATTCTTCAGTGTTATCCTAGGAAACAAAGAAGGGTCACAGAACCAAAAGGCCACTGTGGACTCAGACACTTAAAGAATTGCCCAAATTTAAATTGGAATGGTACTAACAGGAAGGTAATAATGTATGTAATTTCAATTGTAGGCTTTATGTGCCCCCCAGTGTTGTTTTCTATGATGGTTTTACCCTTGAGGCAGCTCTGTAGGGTAATGAGGTGGAATCACCCCTCATTTAGGGGTACAGACCCAAAGCACAGAGTGCAGTTAGCTCACCTGAGGTGACACATGGAGTCTGTGCCAGCCTTGGGATTTGGGAACTGATATTCCCCATTTTCCTCCAGGATCTGACCACCAGAACCAGCTGTCCTTAGTGCAGCAAGTCCTCCTTGGAAACACCATTGGGATCCTTCTTAATGGCACTGGAAATATCAGGGAAAATACTTGTATTAGTACAGAGTAAAACACAAATCACACCCCTGGACAGAGGTGAGGGCAAGGTGGGAGGAAAGCAGCCCCTTGGGAGATACACTGAGGTTTCCAGGAGCAGGAATAGGATATTTAGCTTCATGTAAATTTCTAAATCTTGCCAAAAAGGAGGAGGTTTAGATAAGACCCAGACATGTTGTTTTTTCCTACTTCAGCCCCTGTGTAAGGAAATTGCTGAGGTTTTCAAGACTGGAAGAAAACTCAATTATTTTTATGCCACTTTTACTGAAAAAATAGCAACAAAAAAACCCCAAAAGTTATATATTTTGGAAGAGGAAAGAAGAAGCTCTCATTCCAAAAAGCCAAGTCATTAATTCCTATATCCCAAGGCAAGAACTCTCATGTGGAAGGTTACCAGGGCACCCAGGAACCCGCTGGCAGTGTTGTATTTCCCTTCCCCTTTGCTGGGGTTAACACCTTCTGCAAAGCACAATCAACTTTTAAGGCAAGAGATAAAATTTTAACGGTGTTCCTAATTAGTGCCAAGGGTGGCAGTTTCTGTGATGGCTGTGAGGGCCTTGGTGAGGGCCCATAAACTCCATTGCACTTGGGTCAGCCATCTATCAGGTGATAACCACTGCTCCCACCTGCACTGGCTGCAGACACAGACATGGAATGGTTGGCTTGGAAGGGACATGGAAGATCATCCAGTTCCACCTCATTCCATGGGCAGGGACACCTTCCACTATCCCAGGTTGTTCCAAGCCCTGTCCAACATGGCCTGGAAAACTTCCAGGAGCACCCACAGCTTCTCTGGGCAGCCTGTGCCAGGCCCTCAGCACCCTTACAGGGAGGAAATTCTTCCCAAAGACAAGGATGAAGCTGAAATTGCCATTGAACTGCTTATTCCTACAACATACAACAATAGGAATGTCTTTCAGGATACATGGCACCAGTCTTAGGCTAATTTTCAGGGCAAGGATTTTGTTGTTGAGCATATTTTGTTTTTATGTCACTGTGAAATGTATACTCTGTATGTCACTTGGATAAACTTCTCCCAAAAAAATCCCCACTAGAACAGCAATGAATGGGATTTACAGCTTGAGCTTCTGAGCACCTTTACTGCACAAAAAACTGTTTATTAGCACAAGTTTTCCCTTTGTATGTTGTGTTTACTTGTTTCCCAGCAGGGTCTGCTGATGTTAATGGACTCACAGCAGTGCATTCTACTTGTGTTATTACAGGTCTAATTCAGTCATTAACATTTCATTAATGGACTGGCCTCCTCGCTGTTTGCATGCCTGTCTAGATATTGATGAGCTTTCTAGTATAGAAAACTGGTGTTTAAGGCAGACTCTTAAAGGTTTATTAAGATGCTCGTGAACCTTCATCCCATTCTGTCATTTATTTTAGCAGATAAAAGCCAAACCCTCAGATGAATTTGCATTGCAAAAGTTTTCAGCACCTGAATAGAAAATTAATTCCATGTGAATACCCCAAGGAGAGGAGAAAAACCCCAAAGATTCCAGAGTTACATCACTTGGATACAAATCTTGAGTTCCTGCTTCAAAACCAGTGTGGCTCTGCACCGCCAAGTCTGCTGTGCTCTACCTTGGAGGGAATTGCGTTTCCATGGGACACAAATTGATTCCTATTCCCAAGGGGGTTCTGCAGCTCCACCAGATCCCAATTTCAGACTCTGAGCTGGAGTTTCTAATCCTTCCCACCACCCAATCCATCAGGAACAGCCTTGCTGGTCCAGTGGAATTAATCAAATTAAGAGACTGCTCAGAATAACGAGGCAGAGGTTTTGGGGACCTTTGACATGACCACCAAAGGGGAAGATTTATCATGATTTTTATACTTCAGTAACTTTTTGGATTTATCAACTGTGTATTGGAATCTAAAAACAATCTTGATAATACCTGTACCCCAGTGGAAGATAAATATCCTTAGGAAATTGCTGGAAGGAGTTATGAGGTGCTTCCCTTTACATTTCTGTTTTTTCCCTGCTAAAATGTGTGTTTTCAGGCACCCCAGAGAATTAAAATACACAGTGTCTAGTGCAAGTACTTTGTGAAAATTACTAATTTGATGTCATAATTACGCTTGTAATATAAAATTATTAAGTACTGTCACACTGCACGGTAAATGGAACTTATATTGGTGTAATAAAATGTATTTCAATTCCATTGCAATAACTTTATCATAGTCTTTAATGGTACCCAGAGTTAACAAAAATAAGATGCAGCCAGGAAAAACACCATTGAAGAGTACCCTATACTGCAATATTAGGTCACAACAGATATAATTTGTGAGCTTCTTTATGTGCCAGTTTACATTTATGAACACCTGCAACTTATGTTTTCCTGACAAAATGAGATGCTAAAGAAGTTGAGGTAGGATTAGAGGCCAGTAAACAAAATCCCCAGCGTCATTTCCCTTAATAAATTCTGCATTATCCATGCCTTTGACTTCAGCTTTATAAATGGAGCTATAAATATTATTGATCCTAAATTCATATTTTTTTAAGGATCTTCCTGGCTCAGCCAGGCAGGTCTATGTCAGGATGACATGAAAAGAGATCTCTTATTATGAAATCTGAAGCTTATTATCTTGATGAATGTAGCAACGTTTGAGCAATCTGAGGGTGGGGGGACAAGAAAAGAGGGACACTATTTTAACATTAATATGTTCAAGTGGTTTTTTCTCCTCAGTAGAACTGTCCCAGCCCAGAATGTATGAGCTGTGTATTTAATGAAGGGGGAAAAAAGGGAAAAGAAAAACAAAAAAAAAAAAAAAAAAAAAAAAGAAAAATAAAGAAAAAAGGAAGGATTATTAGAAAATATGCCAAATCCTCATCTCAACATTTTTCTTTTGTCTGTCAGGGTAAATAGAATGAAGAAACAAACCACAACTGGAGGAGGGGGGGAAAAACCCAGTCAGCTAAAATGTCATGACTTGCTTCTCTGCAGGTGTCAACTTGACTTCACTGAAATGGCACAAAACTTTGATTTTCTCATCAGGAAAAAATGTTTATTTCCTCTACCAGACCTAACAGATAAGAACATACTGTGTGTAACATTGCATATTTTGATCCTGTGTCTAACTGTTCTTGAGACACATGCTAAAAATATTTTGTGTGCTTTGCCTCAAATTGTTGTCATGAATTATTGAATTGAGCTGCTACTTTTTCATTAAACCAGCAGCCTTAATAATTTAAACACTGGTCTTTAAGAGACTTACTGTATACTGATGATCTTCAGGGGAAGAAAGAGAACCTCCCAATTATTTTATATCTGTCTTGATTTTTTTTTTGGTAGGGTTTTAATGCATTGCATGACTTACCAGGCATTACTGGATGCCTGTATTATTTTAGCACACCAGACAACATTTCTCTCCATTTGATTTGTCATTGGGAATTTAGCTCAGATACTCCTGTAGCCAGGTTTTCCCAGTCACGGGAAACTCAGACCTCCTGAGTGTTCAGGTGCAGCTCATGGGGTACAGCTTTAGTTTACCCCTGAAAATGAGGTAGGAAATAAAATTTTAAATTTTATTTAAAACCTTTAAATTTATTTTAAATCCTTTAAAATTCTGTATTTCTGCATGGCCCTCATCCATTGGAGGGGAACCTTCTTGCAGCTGAGCAATATCTGCTGCTCCAAAGGAAAACCAAAAACTAAGGGAAGTGTGAAAAAGTTCTGAAGTTACAGCCTGATTCAATAAAAACCTCAACTTGCTTCTCAACTAATTCAATTTTTTTTTAAAGTGTACTTTCTTTGGGATGACAATCACTGCAAAATGAAGTTTTTGGGAAATCTGTTGGCAAATCATTGCACTGGTGGCTCTACCAAGTCCCTTAATCTTTTGTGCCTCCCTCAATTACACTCCAAAAACATCAAGGCAAGAAATGTTTCAAAGCACCTCCCCAAAACCCAGAACAAACTCTCAGCTCCCACAGCTTTCTTGTGGTAGAACTAGAGATGATAAAAATCAGAAGTTCCAGGAGTCATTTGATGTCTGATCCGCGGTGATGTGTCATTTCAGTAACACCAATGCTCATTTTGCACAGCACAACAGCAACAAAGATTACAAATATTAACTTCAAACACCACATAAAGTATGAATAATCTCCATTGCTACAAATTTTTAAAATGCATCGTATTTCTTTCCCACATATGTCCTTGTAGCCTCATAAAACAAACTGTTACATTATATGGGCTTGTATATATATATATATATATATATATCACAAAATGTTAGCTACTGCTAAAAGTAAGAAAATAGATTTTGACATTGGAGAATTATTTTCCTGCTCTCCTGTGCCTCTGGATCTAAAGGCAGAGTTAGTCAGCTGTTTAATCTGGCCTGAGTCCAGGACTGCATTTCAGGGTGAGATGCCAAGAGCAGCGATGCCACATGGAACAGGAGTTATCTTCTGCAAACTCACAGTGATCACAGGGCAATTTGTATTTGAACTGATAGAAAGAACAATCTCCTGTAGCTTTCTTGTCTGCTCAGGACTGATTTTCGTTTGGGCAACTAAATTTAGTCTTATTAATCAGAAGATGCATGAGATGCTGTAATCACTTCATTACACAGCATTGGCCAACCCTTCCATGCCATGTCCATCGAAATTCCGGGCCCTGCCCTCCCTGAGCACATCTGCAGTCCTGAACTACAGCAGAAGCTCACAAATTGCAGAGGACAAACATTAAATATGGGTTTAAGATATCAAGACAAATTATTATGTTTTGAAATATAAATGTATATGAAAAAGAAACACTTTTTTTGTCCATTTTTGCCCTTTACCACTTGTCAGAACTGTCAAGGTGGGAAAGCCTGTTTGCTTTCTGTCCTTCAATTTAAAGCAGCTGTATGTGATACTCTTTTAATTAATCCCCAGTCCAGTCTGCTATCACTGTTCAGTTTATTAACTTCCAAAAGTTTAGATGATAAAAAATGTATACATGTAAAGTGGTAAAATTAAGGAATTTTCCTTGTGGTGTATGAAAAACTACCTACTCTCTAACTTCTCCTCTAACACTTGAAGAGCAAAGAGTCCAGGAAAGGAAGGATTTCCATTAAAGCACAGAACTCTGTCAACATTCAGGTACTACAAGAAGAAAGAGAATAAAAGCTAGGAAATTCTACTTATGCTTGTTGCTATCACCTGATATCTCAAAACAATATCCAACCCAAACCACATGGACATAATAACCAATAATTGAAGAGTCACAACGAAATTTTATCTCACCTGCAGCATCTCTCTGCACTTCTTCCTGAAACTGTTTCCATTTCAGTATGGTTTTGAATTTTCTAGAAATATTCAATTTGTTTATTATAGCCAATATAATCTCTTCCTGATACAGAGACATTCTAAATAAAACAATGTAAAGCAATGTAAATATACATTTATATTTCCTGGTGCTTTGGGGACAGCCTGTGAGCAAGCACTCCTTTATTCTTTGACATCCTCTGGGTGAAAACGAGCTTTAAAAGCTGGGTTCCCATTTCCTGGCATGGGAGGGTTTAAATAGCTGTCAGGATGGGCACACCTGTCCCACCAGGTGAAGGACCAGGGGTAATTTTGATGTGTCAGGGGTAGGTAGAGGAGGGATGTGAGTGTGCCACATGGAGCCAGGAGAGGATGGGGAAAGCTCTGGTTTTGGGAAGGCTTTGCCATTCGTGTCTCACATGGAACAAGCAGCCAGGAGGAGAACACCAAGGACACTGTACCCTCCTGACTGGAGAGCTTCTCCAATCAGATGGAAAAAACTCTCCACTGATGGATTGTGGTGCAGCCTTGGACTGGCCAATGCTCTCCTGCCAGCAGGCAGATTTTGGGAGGGGTCAGGGGGTACAGAAATAGCTGCAACACCAGCTACAAGGATTTTGGGGTCTTGGGGTTTTTCTTTGGCTCTAACAAGCAGGGCTTTTGTGTCTTGTCCTTTTAGTACTCGCTCCTCGCTCGCCCTCTGGCCAGGCTGGACAGCACTGCCCTCTGAGCCTTGTGCAGCCCTTGTCCTGCCTGCCCCTCACCTCTCCTCCCTCCCTGGGCCCTCTCCTCCTTCTCTGTCTTCCCTACCCTTCCTCAGTAGTAGCACAACTCCCTTTTCCATCCCCATGAGATCTTGTTTCATTTGACTTAATTTCACCCTGGACCATCTTTTATAAAAGAGCTCCTCACAGCAACCCCTGGCTCCTTGTCCAAAAATGATTCTTCCACAACACGTTATTATAACAGTAATAATTAATTATGATTAAACAGTAATAAGAGACATACGAGGAGCACATGCAGGAGTGATTGACAGACTGGTTTCTGCAGCAAAGCCTGGGTTTAAAACAAGCAGGTATTTCATGATGCTGTGTGTTTCCACATTCCACACTCCCTGGATCCTCCAGCTCTAACACTTGGGGATCAAATCAGATATAACAATCATCTGTGCAAAGAGGACACAAACATAAGTGTCCTGGCTTGGTGTCATCCTGTAATGCTTTGGATGAGAGGGAAACATGGGAAAGATGCAAGGCTGTAGAAGAGGAGCCTCGTTAGGGAAATTTACAGCAGCACATCAGAATTGCCCACTCCTGTTGTCATAAAAATATTTGCAGTAAGAAAGAAACAATCAGAGAAAAACTAAAGAGAGATGTGTGAAAGGAGACAGAAGAGGACACTGGAAATGTAAAATGAGCATCAGGGCAGACAACCTTCATCTGCACCATCATCTTTTACGAGTTCCACCAGTGCTGGCTCTGAGCCTGGGCTGTTCACTTTTGGAAAGTTTTACTTTATTTTTTTTAATGAAAATTCAACATGGTTCTAATGGAAAAAAAAAAAAAATACCTTGAACAGACCTTTAATAAGAAATATAGCAGGGAGGGAGGACTCATTAAGTGTGAAGTTTAACAAGGATTAGTGAAACAAAAGTCCCCAGCAGACAAGTTTAAATACCAGATAACTCTGTCACCCTCTGATTGCCAGCAGGAGTTAAAATTCAGGTCTCCTGTCTGGAAAAAGTATTACAGAAATATATTGTGAACTTTGCACGGTTCGTTTTTTGTTACGAATTAGATCCATCATGAGATTTATTGAGATGCCTCATGTTTAATAAAATACTCATAACGGTTTGTGATATTTCACAGGATAAATAACAGGATTGTTAGCTGTGTTTGTATAGCAGGTCTCAGGATAATAAATGGTTCATTCAATAATGAACTGACAACAAGTTATTCAGGTTATAAAAATATGGGAGATAAGAGTCAAAATAACAAAACTCAAAGGATCAGACATGCAACAACATCGGAGTCCAAAACCAGGTTGCCCCATCATTTAAATTCTGAAACCATTTGAAATAAGAGGGTGGAAATTTCCACATAAAGCATCTTCCAAGCCAAAGCCACAACAGGACAGTGGAGACAACTGTTCTTTTATTTCTGACACAGCCCAAGATGTCTCAATTTTCTCATGTTATTCAAATCTAATAAAAGATTAATATCCTTTTAGAATAAAATAATATAAAAGTATCTGAAGATAAACACATAAAAATTATTCATCCTGTCTCTGCCTCTCAAAGAGCACACGAACAGAGAAAGTTCAATACATTTTTAAAAAATACATTCTTTAGAAAATATGAACAAGTGAAGATTCTCTGAGTATATTTGACTTCTAAATAAATTGCTTTCTTTTTTGGAATTGCTGAGAAGGCAGACACTCAGTGAGGTCAATGAGACTTACTGATTGCACAGTGTTACGGAAAATTAGGCTACTTATTTGGGAACTAAAAATGGATGTTAAGAGCATTGAGTGAAGTCACACTTTTGAGCATTTTGGAGCTGGCCTACATTTTTAAAGAAAACTTTGAGACTTTGAGCAATAACTTTTTGGAAGAACCAGATATTTATGATGTCCTTTTTAGCAATTAAAGGCAATTCAAAGAACTGAAAAGATTATTTGGGCAGAGGGGGGTGGCTTCAATTCCTGTAAGGAGACATCAATTTGCAATCAACTCCACTTAATTAGGGTGCTCCCAATCCTTACCAGTTTTGACTCTGAGGTATTTAAAGGACAAGGAAAGCGTCCCCAGGATGGTATTTTATTCCCACCTATATTTCAGGATAAAAAATTATGGAGAAGAGACAACTTAAAGAGGAGGCACGAAGGAAAAGGCATCAAAAAACCACTTTCTTTTATTAGTATGATTGTTCAAATCCAAATTTGAACAAAAGTCTCCAAAAGTCATTCCCATTTATTCTGTCTGGGCCAGTTTATCTCCAAAGTTTGCCCATCCAAGTGTCAGCAAGAAGCTGAGATGTTCATGCTGTTTAATTCTTTGATGTCCACAACAATAAAATGACCAAATAATAATAAAAACTTCATTCTCCTCACTGCTCCCCCCACAAAAAAAAAAAAAAATAAATAAAAATGAATGTTTGAAATGGCCATTTCAAACTGAAACAACTGCTATTGCTATCAATTTAAGTAATCACTTTCCCAGCTGACAGATGCAAAGCTCTCCCTTCAGATAATGACTTTTCCAGCTGACAAGAGTCAGGGAACAGGAAGTGTATGTGGGGATAAGTGTTTGGGAATTAGAGGACAGCCAAAGTTTGTGGCTACCTGTATTATCTACGGGAGGTTATTTTACTTCTACTGGCACATTTTTATCTGAAATCAGCATAAATTAATCTTTAAAAATGTTTAGGGCAGCAGAATACTTTTTTTACAATACTAGGCAATTTTAAAAGTTTTTTTGTTCTTTACTGCTTGAGATTAAACTCATTCCATAAGGCAGGAGCTGCAGTTTTCACCAGAGCTGTCACAGGACAAGGAGAAAACGGTACATGTTGTTTGTTTCTGTCTGCACTCCAGCCAAACCTGCTCCCTGATTTCCAGCAGGGTTGGAAATGCAAATGCCTGCTGGCTAAAATAAGTAAGAATCTTTTTTGAGACATGTCCCAAGTCAAGAGCTGGTAAACTGAGCTACATTTATACCCCTCACTGTCCTGTGCAGTATTAAGGAGGTTACTCCCAGTTTTTTTGGGGTATTTTTGCATGCCCTAAATCATCAGTGCTGTCAGATGTGGGTTAAAATATGTAAATAATCAGTCAGTCCCTAAATGATACCTCAGCTGAGCTCTTAGAGACACCTGTCAAAGATGGGTGCTCTCACCCACCTGTCCATGCCAGAGAGGACACACCATGTCCGTGTCCATGGGAGAGAAAAATGTGTTTAATTCTCTGTGCAGCAGGAAAGGAGAGGCCACTTTAAACCCCTCCCTGGAGCTGCCAGGAGAAAATCACTGAAAATCTGATGGCAGTTCCATGATCCAGCTTTTTCCTGTGGGCCAGCATGTCAGACACCACTAAGTTTCTCTAAACCTCCATTCTACGTTAAAATAACTCTGCTGGGCTGTCATCATAAAAAGTTATAACCCAACATCAAATTTTAGCTTTTACCAGGAAAGGGAAGGCTGAGGAACTTTACTACAAATCTGTAAAAGGATCACCATAGGCCAGCACGTATGACTGTCAACTGATAGGAAATTAAATATTCCTGTTCATGATGACAGACTGAAATTTTAATTGGGTTTGACCAAATCAGAAGCAAATATCGTGGGGGTGTTAATCTTGTGTTCCCTATCCATATTAATATAATAAAATATATTAATATTGTGAAAAACAAGAAATACCAAAAAATAAAAAAAGAAAAAAACCCCACCAATTTTATAAAGAAAGAAAAGAATAAAATTATTGAGCAGCTGTATCAGTCTTCATGTGAATGATACCCCAAAACTACAAGAGCAGTTATCAGTTCTTCAGTTTAACTCTTACCTTATTATGTCTGTTTCTATTTCTTATCTCCTGATAAAATTTGCTTTTTCAAGTTAAACTTCCTACAGTCATAATAATAAATGGAACATGAGGCTTGGACTCGGTGTCTCTGTTTTTTCTCTTCTTCTTTCACTGGAGGTATCAGGGCACATGAGAAAAGTAACACAACACAGAGGATGGAATGGAAATGAACTATTAAAGTCATGATAAGAACTAGAGAGAGAGACTCTGGAATATGTGTGGAGTGAAATATGATCCCTTGAAAGAGTGTATGTGAAGAAAAAGGCAGCATGCAAAAGTAGCAGCATTACATGTTCATACTCCATGCTCCTTTCTTCTGAGACTCTGCCACATCTCAGCCCAAAATTTTACTTCTATTTGTGTATCTTTAGCATAGTTTTTTTTTTTAATAAAAATAGGGTTTTTTTTATTAATAACAGCAAGGAGAAAGAGATTCAAAGTGATTGTGGCAAGATATGGAGTTTCACATATGAAAAAATGAATGGAAAATAGAAAATGGAAAATGGAAAATATGCTGAAGTCCCCATCCCTGGAGGTGTTCGAGGAATGTCTGGATGTGGCATTCAGTGCTCTGGGGGGGATCTGTCACAGCTTGGACTTGATGATCTTGAAGCCCTTTCCCAACTTTAATTAT